TAAAGATAGATAGATAGATTAGATAGATAGATAGATAGATAGATAGATAGATAGATAGATAGATATGCACATGGGTGCCTGTGGAGGCCAGAAGAGGGCATTGAATTCCCTGGAGCTGCAGTTTTAGGCAGTTAAGAGTTGAGCTCTACCTGATGTGGGTGCTGGGAACTGAACTCGGGTTGTCTGGAAGAGCAGTGAGCTTTCTTAACTGCTCAGCCATATCTCCAGCCCCTGAAATCACAGTTCTTGATGGGATCACCCCCAAAATCTCTGGGAACCCTTGAGATGAGGGGAGTGAGCATGTTCATACTGTAAGATGGGAAGTGAACTCCAGATTTTCTTTGATCAGAAAATGAGGTCAATGGTGAGCAGCTGCACTCTATCAGGGTGGGCTCCTGGCTTGACTGATAGCCCACTGCTGGGAGGTGGAACAAGTCTGAGGCATGAACAGTGTTTTACAAAATACAGCAATAGAGCCTCCTCAAACACACAGAAGAGACAAGTAAGTCTCTTATAAGTCCTGGGAATCAAGCATCTATGCAGTTTATAAATTAGCCCATGTGCCTCTGAGTCATCTTTGACATCAGCCGGCAGCCTACTTAAAGCCAGCATCCACACATGATTGGCACATGCATGCTTTCTTTTGCAGAATTAGGATGGCTTTGGAAAATGAAGTGCATGGCTGGGGAGGAGGCTTAGCTGGTAAAAATAATTAGCATACAAAACATGAAGACCTGAACTCAGGTCTCCCCAATACCCAAATAAAAAGCTGAGTGCCGTGACACATGTCCATAGTCCCGGCAGTGGGATGCGAAGGCAGGCTGATCCTTGGGCCTCATTGGCTATCTAGTCAAGCCTTATGGATAAGCTATCATTTCAGTGTCTCAAAAAAACAAGGTAGAGAGCAAACAAGGAAGATGCTTGACATCAGTCTCTGACCTTCACATGCATAAGGTACATGATTATCCTGAAACATATACACACACATGCACAGATAAAATGAAAGGAAGTGCATATCGTATGCCTCTTTAAATTGTTTCATTTAAAGAGAATTCACTCCCACTTGCTCACATTTTCAGAGGGAGGTTCTAGACTTTGACACTATCTCCTACAATTTTCTCCTTTCACCAGATGGTGGCACTTGTGGGTGCCCAACATTTGCCTTAAAGGATACAAGTACAGAAGAAAGCAGCAAAAAGTGCCGAGAGCAGGCCTGCTGGTGTTTCGTTCCTACTTACTATAATTAGTAACTCAATATTAATTAACTATGTTATGTATGTCATCTTATTAATCTAAAAACCCTTCAAAGCCTCAAACATTTTGGGTGTATCGGCACATTTGACAGCCATAGCCCTCACCCCAGGGAGGTTTCATCCCACAAGATTACACAGCTAGGAAATAGTAAAGTGATTAAACTGAGCCTGGATCCCAGTGGTTCATGAGAGAAAAAGCAAAATGGAACCAGGGCCAAACATACCCAAAGCCACTTATTCTCAGGACATGGGCCTTCATACCAACTGAGCCCAGACACACATACCTCTTCCAGATTGTTGGAGCCCTGTCGCCGCCTCTTGTTCATATCATTCTCTTCAGTCTGGGTGTCTACCTGCAATGGCCAAGAAAGCATGGTGAGCTCAGGGCCATGAACACTCAACTGGAAACACAGAAGGATGCATGCTTGTCTGGACACAGCTGTCAGCAGGACACAGCTGTCAGCTGGACACAGCTGGTAGACATGGGAATAGATGGCCCCGCCCATAAGTGCTGCCATGGAGTTACAGCCAGGCACAATGGAAAGTGCTTCTACTCTATCTCAGAACCCCTGTGACACAAGCAGGGCAGGCATCATCTCTATTGCAGTGACTATGGGCTTGCAAGAGGCTTAATCATGTGCCTGAGCTCAGAGCCAGGCCTAGGGATGCCCTCTGTGTTTGCTGCCTTATGGGGGAACTCCCTGACTTTCTCTGTTCCCTGGGCCTCCCATAAAGAAGTGGGGCAGGTTCTCAGGACATGAGTGAGCTGCCCAGGGATTTGGTGTCAAATTAAGCTGCAACCCAGCCACCATTACAAGATTTAATTAATTTCAAATAAATAGTAGCTCCAACCTGAGGATTAGAGATCAAATGTCCAGCTTGCCAAGGATGGTTCAGATTTACTGACTCAGTCACTGTAACTATAACAGACATACTCCCTTCTATAGAGTATTACCTAGCTATCCCAATAACTGCTCATAGCTCACCCCCGATGCCCAAATCTGAACAATCTACTCTAGGCCTGTCAGGCTGGCCTAGGCAGGTGAGGAGGGGCCAAGGGTGGGGTGGAGGCTGAGTGCTGTACCTTCTCCATGCACTTTGGTCCCAGATTAGGTCTATTCCCTAAGGACAGACATCTTAACTACCAGCTTCTCCCAACACTTATCTCCTGCTGGAGTCTGGAGTCACATCCCACAGAGCATGGATCACATCTATGTATTTCTCCCATACTCTGACTTCCTCCACATCACATCCCAGCCTTTCAGACACCATTAATGCAAGAAGAGGTGCCACAGGCTCTCTGTAAACCCAGGCATAACATCCATCCAGGCCCAAGCATAGCTCTTCCTGGCCCCAGAAGGGTTCTTTCAGGCCTGGATACTCTGAAATAGCAGTGTGGGAACACCAGCACAAGTCTACTGTGCATCACTTGAGTCCAATAAATACTCCCGTTACACACACACACACACACACACACCCACACACACACACACACGCACGCACGCACCATACACACAGCACATATCACACCACATACACATACACCCCACATATACACACACATACCACACATACCACATATACACAACACACACATACACACACACAAACACCTCTGCCATGTTCACCAACTCCATTAAAAGAAAAACCAACCACAGTTTAGTCATGGATATTCGTTCAAAAAATTGACCATAGCACAATAAAACAACAGACCTAAGGGCCCTGCCTCTCTTTAACATCTCCTTCAACTTCTCATAAATCACTATTTTGTGAATGGAAATAATCCTAGTTTAAATGGTTGGACAAACACCAAGAGAAACAGATGACCTTATTTTCAACAATGTTGAGTTTTAGAGGCACAAAGTGTTTGGGCTCCCAGCTCTATCGACTGTGAATGCCACTTAGGCCCCAAGACCAGAGCTGTGAAAGCACAGAATGTCCCATCAACAAGAATGCTTCGTGAATAATCTCAGGGTTCTCTTTGTATTTTTGTTCCCATTTTCAATGAGGACTTGGCTTTTCTCACAAAGAGCAATACATCCCGCTCTCTCCGTTACACTTGACAGCCCAGGGTGGGACCATGCAAATAACTGGAGCCTGGCTAGACCCCATTCAGACATGTGACCTGAGGGCTCACAAAACACAGTCCAGGGTGGTGGGCCCAGTCAGCAGCTCCTAGAAGATCCTAAACCCTTCTGGGAGAATAAATGAAGTTTAAAGGGGCAACCTTTGCTTCTTAGATGCCTCCACTGTAACCCTGGGAAATAAAAAGCATCCACATGGAAAGGTTAGCAATGCACACACAGCTAAACAATGTTTACTTTTCCCTATAGAAAAGTACTATTGAGATGCAGGTCAAAACAAAAGTCTAAGAAAACTAATTTTTTTTTATTTTTCTCACTAGAAGCCAAAATTTGACTCAAAACCTCTAACCTAGAGCCATTTGCTTCAGTCGAAATAAACTCTACCTATGTATGATCGTACGAGTGAGCCTAATTAAACTCAGTGGGACACGGGCACACACACGTACACACATGAAAGTCAGAGGGGGACAGGTAGAGAGAAGAGGGTCTTCTGTGAGAATGGGTGTGTGTTAGGGTGGATATGATAAAAGTATATTACATACATGTGTGAGATTGTTAAAGAATAAATAAAAATGCATTTTACAAAAATGGCTCTAATCACTCTGGACTTTATTATACTTGACAAAGAACCAGGAGCATAACAAAACCAAATATTTCTCATGGCCAGGCACAGAGAACTGAGAATAAACAAATGACTTATGTTTTCTTCCTATTAACTTTTCCAGCTCTTTTACCCTAGGAACATTTTCTTATCATGGTTTTCCAAGGATTCGAAAGAGTTGATATGCCAAAAGTCATTTATTAAACTAAATGGTTTCCCTCTTTAAATAACAATCAATGCCACATATCCGCTAGTCTGATTATTAATCTGACTAGCTGAAGACAGCCATGTCCCCACACATCCTGAGTTATTTTGGCTCAATGCAAACAACATTTATATTTAGTTATCTGGCCTAGTCTAACCATGGAGGAATTTAGATCTGATTCAGTTAGATATCAGCTTTGATACTTAAAAAGATGGCCAGTGACACTAGCAAGAAAGATCTTTCTTCAAGGAATCATGGATTCAGGTGCTAGTCTGTGGCGAGTGATGTTCAGAAAATCACCTAGCTACATTGACTTCAATGCCCTCACTTATAGAAAAGAGTCTAACACTATTTACTCATAAGCTACTGTGAAGGTTGATGGAATCACAGAATGTAAAACACTTCTTAAACTACACATTGCTGTCCAAGCATTAATTCTATTAAAAATAGAATTTTAAACATCTGAATTCTTTGATAATACTTGTATAACTTATTAAAATGTAACATCTCCAAGTCCAAGTTTCCCTACCCACTACACTGCAAAGACATTATATTCCCAACCTTCCTCCAAAGGATGTATGTAAAGGCAGTAGATGGATAGATGGGTTCATGGGCAAATGGACTGATGGGTAGGTGATAGACTGATGGATGAGTAGACTGATGAATAGATGGATGGATAGATAGGTGGATGGACTGTGAATGGATGGATAGATAGATTGATGGTTGGTGGGTGGGTGAATAGATAGATAGATTGGTGGGTGGGTGGATGAATGAATGGATGGGTGGATGGGTAGTGGGTAGGTGAATGGACCAATGTATAGACAGGTAGGTAGATGGATAGTTGGTGAGCAGGCTAGATTAATAGAAGAGGCACTTTAAAAACCTGTGGGCTATAGAGCAACATCTGGACCACTCTGACCACACACAGGGTTATGCTGTGTGTGACTTCACTTCTACCAGGAACCAGTGCTGGTAGAGCAGGACCTAGATGAATAGGGAAAGTCTCTGGGCTACCCGGCTGACTTTTGGAATGTGAGTGTGAGGTCAGCCTGGTCTCACACAGTGAGACCTAGTCTCAAAAAAAGTCTTTATCATATTCAAATTAAACTCATGATTTTGTGTTAGGCTATATTCATAGATATTCTGGGGGTATACTTCCACCTTCAGGTTACAGGTTGGATATCCTAAATAAAATGGCAATTATTCTTCAGACCTGTGGTCTCCAAACTGTGTAGCTACATATCCCATGATACCAGAGTGAACCCAGAGGAATGGCAGGACACTCAGTAGCATCTGTCCAACATCTTGACAATAATCAGTATTTGGACTTAACTGCTTAGGGAATAGGGCATGGGCATTTTCTCTCTGGTCTTGGAGTACTGTGAAAAAGTCACAGACACTAAGGGTTCTAGAAGTTCACTACACCCTGGGCTTGTGTTGATTAGTGTTTGACAATGTGGCACAAACAGGAGTTACACAGGAAGAAGAAACTTCAACTGAGGAAATGACTCCACAAGGCTGGCCTAATGTGGACAAGTCTGTGGGGCATTGTCTTGACTGCTCATTGATGTAGGAGTGCCCAGCCCACTGTGGGTGGTACCATGTCAGAGCAAGTGGCTCTAGGTTGTAGAATAAAGTGGGCCAGCCATGGAGAGTGAGCATTCCTCCATGGGCTCTTCTTCAGTTCTCACCACCAGATTCCCGATCTGAGCTTCTTCTCTGGATTCCTTTGATCATGCACTGAGACATGGAGTGTAAACCAAATAAACTGTCTCCTCGCCCAACTTGGTCTGGCCCATGTTTTATCACGGCAACAGAGAAGCAATCTAGTATGGGACTCAAAGCCAAGAGCCCCACATCATTCACTTTTGTATAATTACTCCTATCATTAAAACAACTAAAACCACAGCCTTAGTTAGTGGGGCACTATGACTATTGAATGACTGACTGACTGACTGACTGACTGACTGAATGAATGAATGAATGAATGAATGGAGATGTGAGACTGTAGACTACTGTCATACCGTTGCCACTTAACTAATGTCCATCATACCCTTGATCTGAAATGTCTAGTGACATGAGAAATAAGCCACTTCACCACTCCGGGAGCAGAGCTAACCTGGGTTCACTCTGCAAACATGCACACACTGAGCTATGTGCACATCTTTTGAGTCTTTATCTACATAGTTTGTCAACATAAACAAATCCGGACACGAAATTATCCTTTCTCTTCCATCTGCAGTGAGGAAGAAATGAAAGACCAGCCTGAGACTTACCCGTGGGGTCCTCTTCCTGGGAAATGTGAGGTTGAGATAGTTATTAGGAATGAATGATTTGCTCAAGCCAAAGTCAGCATTTTCTCCATAGTTTTTACGCCAGGAATCTGTTGAGAAGTAAAAGCAACATTGGGACGCAGGGCCACGTGGTGATGTTGTAACCTGTGGGTGCCCTTCTAGAATAATTTCCTCATCCCACCCTTTATGAAGCCTTTAATGACTGAGAAGTGTGGGGAGGCCACTATATCTCTTCAAGGTAGTCATCCTTGTTTGGCCTCTGAGTCAAAGGGAAGGTGTCTTGAAGTTGTAGAGTAGACAGCACCAGCCAGCTCAGGCTGGGGGACAGAGATGCTACTAGACACAGGCTCCATGCTTACCCATGGGTCTCAGTGGGGTGCCCCGGAAGAGCTCATAGAACTTGGAGAGGTACATGACCATGCTGAGCTTGTCAGGCTCCTGATTCGATGCCATCTCTTTGCCTGTAGTCACTGGCAGGATCCCAAACTCACGCTTGGCCACATCAAATGCCAGTTGATTGTTCTCCACAGCGTCATCTTCATTCAGTGAGTCAAAGTTGCTGGAGGACCAATACCAGTTAAATTTCAGAGTGAGACAGGAGGCACTGAGCCCATAATGAGCACTGTAGGCTGATAAACTTTTAGCCACATTGGGTCCCAACCTCAAGCCCAGGAACATGCCTTGCTTATGAAGGGATTTAATGAGACCATGATTATACCACTGACCTAGACTGAAGCCATCAAAAAATGATTTACTCTTTTTGGGAAATATAGGAGTCACTTTAATTATTTCTCTTTTTCATTTTAATTGCTATGGTAACGGGATCTTTCCCAAACCAATCAAATTATATGTATCATATGAAGATGAGATTCCCATCTCCTCATGGGTAGATGAGTTTGATAGGTTTCTATCAGCCCTATAGGAAGGGTTTACACATGGGTGAGCATCTGTGCTGATCCCCAGGTCTATAGTTATTATTCTTTGGACATCATGAAGGGTTTCTAGAATGTTATCTTGTCTTCCAGTTGACCCTGCCATTTTGCCAACACACGAATAAGCCTTAGAACATTCTAGAAAGGATCTGGGTGCCAAAAAATACTTCTTTGGCTAAGTAGATTTCTCTTATACTTCCTGTATTGGGGGATGGGGCTTTGAGGCCTATGCTTAATTTCCAAAATGTTGCTATTAGGGTTGGGGGGGCGAAGTGGTGAGACACAACCACTGATTCTATGATGACTGTCATGTACCAGGGACACAGGTCATACAGGTTGCTGTCTAAACAAGGGAAAAGCAAGTTTTAGAAAACCATCCAACCAGAACTTGCAGAAATAAATACTGATCCAGGTTGGGTGTCTTCACCCAGAGAAGGCTGGGGTTCCTTGTGTCCAGGATCTACACTCACATCAGCTCTGGTCGGAAGCGGTGAATGATGGCACACAGGGCCAGGCCACTGCGCCAGGATGTGGTCAGGTCAGTGACGTGGACATGCTGGTAACCCTCTGTCTGCTGCTGGCACCAGGTTAAAAGCTTGTTAGGCCGGATGTCTGACTCTGTGGGGAAGATATAGGTGTTGAGGCTTTTCAGAAATTCCAGAGAGTTCAACCTGAGCATCACTCCCACTGGCTGGGAATCAGGAAGGGTGGATGGCATAGATGCAACTCTGGTGGCCACTGCACAGGAAGCACACTTTCTAGCAGTACCATCCCTAGGGTCCACTATGGCTAGGGTCCAGGGTTGGAGGCTAGGAACACAGACCCTGTATCTATTAGGTGATACTAATGACATGGGGCTGTCATGGACAGAGGTGCTCATGACCAGGTTTGATGCAAGCTGGCCCGGGGAGAACTCCCTAAAGAAAGTGTCTGGGGATGTGTATTTGAGCTGGCTATTGAAGAATGTCTAGGAATTCATCAGACAGAAGCATTTCAGGAAAACAGGATGGAGTGACAGCAAAGAATGTGGAGAGCCTGCCATGCTTGTGTAACAATAAAAGTTTATTACTGTAAACTGTTTTATAGCAGCTGGGCATGTGGTGTGTGCAGGGGAGGGAGGGAGCAGCTCGACACAGAGGTAGTGGGAGTGTCTCTGGGATGTAGAGGAAAGGGGCCCAAGAGAAGGGCTGTTGGGGAGTTACTCATTGAACCATTCTTCCCTTGTCTCCCAGCATCACTCTGTGCCAGTGTTGTATCAGGATTAGGAAGATAAGGAGAGGGGGAAAGCCCCAGGAATCTGTGGTCTAGCTGCTGGGGAGATAGGACACTCATCCTGGAAACAATAGGCAAAGAAAACCCAGCCCTGTGAACTCCCTACAGTGGACTTTCCTGTGCTAAGTGCTCGGCAAGTAACTGTATGTCTTAATTCTAATAATCCTGTCTTACTCTTGCTCTTATAGATGAGGTAATTGAAGGACAAAGGGGCTCTTTGTCCTTCAAGGTCACATGGATAACGGGGCAGAGGTAGGCTGGCCTGGGTTTGAGCAAGCCTCATCCCCTGCACAGCTTGTCCCAGGGTCCCAGAGAGGCAACTCACCCCGCCTGGAGAGGCTAACAGATCTCCGCACTGAGCCCCATCCCTCGAGAGAGACGCCGTCCAGCTCCTTAGTGATGTATAAATGCTTCACCTACGAGCAGGAAAAGACCACACATCTGCTCATCAGTTCCCAGATCCTGGGCTGGAAGCCTTTCTATGCTCCACACCATATTCCCTACCTGGTACTACTTTCCTCAGATGTTGGCTGGTATGACTGTCAGCAGGGCATCCAGACAACTGAGTCACAGACAACAGGCCTCAACTGTCTTCCCAAATGAGGAAGAACTGACTGAATATCTAATTTCCTAGTAGGAACCCATACTATTCTTTGTCCTATTAATTGAAGATGATAGAGGTGGGGTGGATAAATGATGTCCAGACCTATGCATGGTAAGGAAGCGAGGTGATACCTAGGTAAGTGGATTATGTCTGAGAGAGAGGGAGACATAATCAGTGTCACATTTTCACAGTGACAAATTAACACTTGAAAATATATAAATAAGCACATATGCACAGTACCATTTGTGTTCTATTCTCTACTATAGACTATAAAGAGGCCTATAGGCCTCTATTGTACCTTTGCCTCTTGTGGGGAATAGAATTGTCTCCACCCTTTTGCTAGCAAGTTTTGGTGGCCTCAGTTTCAGGACTGTGACAATTTATGAAACCATTCTTTTTCCTCAGGTCACTATGGGGCTTGAGACAGGCTTGGGAGCAGGCTTACCTGGTGAGGCCTCACGCAGTGCAAGTTGAGGTTTGGGTATCGTGTTGCTGGGTCCAGTGTGTACTGCTCAAAATTCTTGTTGATGTTCTCTGGGGTTGTCTGAGGTAACAACCGGTAAAGACTTTCTCTGCAGGGAGTCAGAGCCCAGAGGTCAGGGGTTACTCTTGTCACCTCAGACCCTTTTTCCTGTGCTCTCCTAGTCTCCAGTCTCCCTGGTTCCAGGGAAGGCCTCTGGGTGTGTTTGTATAATCCTCAACTGTAACCTGACACTGAGAGCTGTAAAATGTGGAGTCGGGACAGGAAGGGAGAGAGGAAAGACTGTCCAGGTGATAGGGACATGGTTTCCTTCCTTAGGCAGGAGGCAGGAATGCAGGCCCAACATCTCAGTAGCCTCTGGTTCAGCTAAAGCCACCACCCAGCCACAATGCTCCTCTGACCTGCCTCTGTGGCTGCAGTGGTCCATACCCAAGGCCATCAAAAGTCTGTCTCCCATATCAGCACTAACTCTCCCAGTCAGCCATCTGTTCATGGTCCATGGCCAGCAGCAAGGGTCTGGGAGGAAGCCAGGCCTTCAACTGTAGGAGAGGCCTGGAAGGTCACAGAATCCCTACCCAGGACACTGTGCAATGTCCTTGAAGACTTCCTTAAATAAACCTCTTGGGCCTTGTGTAGATGAGAAAAGTCAGAAAGTCCTGATTTAGGACTAGAGCATGTCAAGATTTGTCTCTATCATGGACACCAGAGAAACTCACTGATGGAGAGGGATTATGTCACAGAGTGTCCTTGAAGACCCTGAAATCACATCAGGCTACATGTGGGATGGCAGATTATGCTCAATGCAGAGGCTGCAGGACAGCCAGCCTGGTTCTACTCCCGCCTGAGCCTTCTACCCAGCAGCACCCCAGTTAAGAGTTCTGCTCTTGAGGCTCACCTTTCGGCTAGCACCTCCAGGGGAGGGGTGCCCTGGTCCCAGCTCTTTACCATCCATGCCGTGTCAAAGGCTGCCAGGAAGCCCCTTGCGCAGCCTGTGCCCATGGGCCAAAATGGCTGTAAAAGATTACAGATGTCAAATTCTCATTGATTCTAGTGACTCCCAGTCTCCTCTCCCATTCTATCTGGCATGCTCTGGTTGCCAGCTCTGAGCCAGAGCAAGGGCAGAACCCTGTGGCCCACAGCTTACCCAGAATTCCAGGTAGCTGTAGCACAATTGTGAAGGGTGAAATAGCCCCACGTATAGCAAAGCTTCCTGGGGGCTATGGAAGAGAGAGAATGGAAGCAGGGAATGCTTCCCTTTTGTTCATTGTAAACATCAGATGGGATTCTGATCTCCTTCCATTTGGGAAGATCAGTGGCAAAGGCTTTGTGGCTAGAAAACTCTGGAGCCTGCCAGAGCACTTAACACAGGAGAAGAATAAGGACTGGGGAGGTTGGGAGGGAGACAGGGATAGAAGCAACATGTCACAATAAGGGAGAACAAGGACTAATGTGGTCAAGTCAAGGATAAACAGCTTGCCCCATAGTGTATCCAGAGCAGGGTTTGCAACCTGGCTCTCAGCCTTGGATAATTTTGCAGACATTGTCAGAGTTCATATTAAGATCAGAAGCTAATCCTCAAATGATCATTTATCTAAGGATCCTTGCACTCATGTGGTCGTGAGGGAAAACCCCTTGTCTCCACAGGCCCCCTCACACTCTGGAAGATTTCTATACTGCAAGGCCACGAAGGGCTACCCACATGGGTAACAGGTCCCAGCCATGCTTAGGGTCTACATGTTGTGTGGAGGACAGTCCTGGGCTCCAGATCAGGGCTGGTTAGTTTTGTTCTTCAGTCTAGAAGCAACCAGAAGAAGCTGCAATAGGAGCAAAGGCTTCTGCTACAGGCAAACCAATGCCAGAATACAGCCAAAAGGGTTAGTTCCCAGGCCAACATGGCCTTGGCAGAGGTCTGCCTATTGTCTGAGAACCTGCCCTTCCCTGGGATATTGGCAGCAGGGGCTATAAGCCTGAGTACAGATGCAGAGATCTGAACTGTACCATAACTAAGGGCTCCAGGGGCAGGTGGTACCTCAAGCAAGCTGTCACCCACAAGGGCCACAAGCAGCTGGTGTGCTTGGCGCTCACGCATCAGGGCTGCGTTCTCCGAGGCATACATGGAGGTAAAGTCGAACATGGCCACATCAGGCTGCCCATTGTGATTTATGGCGAAGTCTAAGGATGGCAGCTGGTAATTGGTGGCAAAATCTGCGGCTTCTCGGGCATAGGAGAGCAGGTTATCCTGGTTCACATTCTCAGTACACAGCAGCATCTCTGTGTCAATGTAGTCCTGGGGAAGATCAAAACCTACGTCAAGATCTCCTTCCTCTCCAAAGGGCTAGATTCAGACCCCCTTTAGACAAAAAAACATAGGATAAGTCTTTATAGGGATGCAAGTCAAAACAGAAACAGAGGGGCTGGGCGATGAATCAGTCTGTAAAGCATTTGCTGTGCAAACATGAGGGCCTGAGTTCGATCCCTAGAACCCACATTAAAAAGCCAGGTAGACCCTGCCTGGGGAGAAGAGGGGGGTGGCTAGGGGCAGGTGGGATGTTGGGGGGGAGGGGAGGGAGAGGGAGCATGGATTGACATGTGAAGCAAGTTTGTTCCTAATTTGAACTAATAAAATAAAATAAAAAGAATAAAACCTGAAAAAAAAAGCCAGGTAGAAAACTGTGTGATTATAATCTCAGTGCTTGGGAGGCAGAGACAGAAGGATCCCCAGGAGTCTTTTGCTAGCCTGCCTATCCTAATGGTTGAATTCCAGGCCAGTGAAAGACCTCATCTCAAAAGACAAGATGATGGCTCCAGAGGAATCACCCCAGTAGCCAAGGTCGGACCTCCACAGAGACGTATACATGTGCATGTGTGTCTGCAGGACTGCAGGAAGTGTGTGTGTGTGTGTGTGTGTGTGTCTGTGTGTGTGTGTGTGTGTGTGTGTGTGTGTGTGTGTGTGTGTGTGCATGCATGTATGAACCAAAACTAGAAAACCAGAGGCAAGGAAATAAACACATGGTCCAGTCACAGTGGTTAGCATGGCTGTGATTAAGCACCCAGTTTGGCTTTGGGCTTCTTGGCATCCAAGGCAAAGGCGAAACGTGATATGGGCTTTCCTTATCAGAAAATGAAACATAGCAATTCCTCATGGGAGGCAAGGTTTTCCTGGAATGGAATGCTGAAAGATCTCTCTCTTGTAGGAATTTAGACAGAGGACACTGGGAACTGTAATGAACAGTGGACTTGATAACAGCCTCCTGGCAAACAAGGAACACATTGCACATGGCTGGTTCTGATGATAACTTTCAGTACAATTAAGAGACAGAGGAACAAGCCAGTGATTTAATAATGGGTGGATTTAAGCTCCTGGGGTGCAGATATGCTGTGGTTAGTGGTCAAACAAGATCAGAAAAAAAGAGGGTGTGCTGTGTCACTCTCTGGATTTCTTTCCACACTCAATTGCCCACTTTTCTGTGATGCTGAGGATGCTGATGGCTTGGCTGTGAAAGTGGGCAATGGCCTAATTCTCTGCTGGGGTGGAGATGCCTGCAGTTAGACAATGAGAAAACTCATCCCAGAGATGCAGAGTACTAGAGAATGAAGAGAAAAGTTTAGAAGATTTCCAAAGTCTATTCTGCTCATCTTTGGCAAAGAAACTTAAAGGCCACCTTTCCTAAAGATGATGTGAAAGAGCAAGTTTCCATGATGGAACATTCGCTAGTGTGTATGAAAACCTGCGTTCCGTCTCCAGCGCTGAATAGAATCGACAGTGGTGAGATGTGCATGTAATTTCAGTATGTAGAAGATGTGATCAGGAGCTCAATGTCATCCTCAGCTACAAAATGATTTCAAGGCCAGCCTGGTATACATGAGACCCTATCACAGTTGGAATGCTGTTTAGTTTTATTCTGAGTCTCCATTTTCTCATTTGCAAAACCATAATTACAAGACTCCTCCTTGGAGTCATATGACAATGAAGTGAGACTATGTACATGAAATGCCCTATGCCATGCCTGGCACATAGGAAGTGCTCGATAGATGCCCTACCAATTCATAATGTCATATGATGAGATGCCAACTGGAACTATCCAAGGTGCCAGTATGAGCACATCTACAGGTCCCAAGATATACAACCTCCTCTATATCCAGAGTGGCCTTCTGTTTCCATTTCCTGTGATTTCAAATACTTTATTTTAGAAATTCTAATATTTCCTTGGAGAATGTACCCAGCATTCATGCAAGAGAGGACTGAAGAAGCCACCTCAGCACACCCGAGGGAAGAAGAGGACCTCATATCACCAGACTGACCAGCCAGCAGTCAGCAGATGTGGAAGATGTGAAAGCCCAGGGCTATAACAGTTGGTATGTGTGTGTGGGCGGGGTGAGGCTAGCTTCACCTGTCTGACCCACAGCCTCTGCCCACATCCCATGCTCTCAGCAGAGGCCCAGCCAAAGTGGAGGAGGCCTGGGTTACTCATGCTTCCAGGCCAGATGCCAATATGAGCTGTTGAGAAGACAGGCATGCTGTACTCTGGCAAGCAACAGTGAGTGGTCCCAGTCCAGAACAGGACCTGGAACAAGGCAACTGACCTGGGGCTGTAGGACCCTTATGGTGAAAGTGTAAGCACTGGAGCTCTAGAAGAGTGAGGCCTGACCAAAGCCCTGGTCCTTCCCACCTCCTCTCTCTCTCATTTTTATTCATCCACATGTGTGTGTCTATGTAAGCATATGCCACATGCATGCACTGCCTGTAGAGTTCACACGATGGCACTGGATCTTCTGGACCTGGAGTTGCAGTCAGTTGGAACCTCCTGATGTGGGTGAGAGTTACCCAACGTGGGTCCTCTGGAAGAACAGCAAATTCTCTTAACCTCTAAGTCATCTCTTCAGCCCCACCTTGTTCTCTTTCTATACTTGATGATGCATGCTAGGCCTAGTGTGTGTGGCTGCAATCTCAGCTCTTGGGAGGCTGAGGCAAGAAGATGGAGAGTTTGAGGACAGCCTGGGCTATACGGTAAGACATTATCTCAGAGCAAAAATAATAAATAAAACAAGAAGCAAAGCTACAGAGAGAAACCAAAGAGCCAACAGGACAGAAGAAGTGTCCAAACAAGTTTGGGGGTGAAGAACCCAAAAAACCACTGTCTACCAGACAGTGTGCTAAGCATGATATATGCGCGCGCGCGCGCGCACACACACACACACACACACACACGTGTGTGTGCATGCGCGCGCGCGCGCGCGCACACACACACACACACACACACAAATGTGTGTGTGTGTGTGTGTGTGTGTGTGTGTATTCCTCATGCATCTCCCACTCCCACACAGTCATGTCTCAAGAACACTCTTCAGAGGATTTACAGGAGTTATTCATTTTATAGATATAAGACTGAGATTCATGAAAAAAAATCAAAATCTTAGCCACCATCCTAAGTTAGCTCATAGGAGAACTGGATCTCTGCTCATCTCTGATGGCACAAAGAGTGAGTACTCTCCCATGGCAAAGGGACACAGTGTGAGGCTCCCAAGTGATGGCATCTCTATGTTCCACAAGGAACAAAGAGTCCCATCTCCAAGTGAATGTGACCTTCTAGAGAAGGAGTGGGGCCAAACAAAGAATGACATTTGCAGAAGGGAAAGATTCAGCTGATCATATTCTGGGCAAAGGTCTCTCACCATAACCGGTTTGAAACATATCTGTGTGGATGAGTAGTGACACAATGCCAAAGGCAAGGAGGGTGCCCGGCAGTTTCTCTTTCCCTTCCCCCTTGCATGGGTTCCAGCAGGACAGTATCTTCTCTCACATCTACTAATGCTGCCAGTCCATGTTGCCTGGGCAAAGACAGATGAGAAATCGCTGTTGATAGGTACGTACATTAATGATGACGCCTTTGTCCAGCAGGCTCTGCTTCTTGGCTGTCATGACAAAGTAGTGAGTACAGTCCTTGTAGTAAACAATGTTCTCGAGATCAATCCCTGAAAGGAGAAACATTCAGACTCAGTTTACCAACCTGCACCTTGCTTCATTCCAGGTCTCATTATGCATGTGCAGAAGATGCAATAAGGCATATAAGATGAATAATGAAGACATATCAGACTGGGGAAGGTAGAAGAGAGGACCAGGAGTCATCCAGACTAAAGCAGCTAGCTTTTATGATTGTACAGACACATGTTCAAAAACAAAACAACCAAACAACATAAATAACCACAGGTGTCCAGTATTTCTAAATTAAAGGTAGATAGAAAGTGTTATAAGAAGGTGCTGGACAGGACCATGGATGCTAAGCAAAAACCAACTTTGAACCTGACTATTGCTGGAGGCTTCTTGTCCCATCAGGTCCTGGTTCCTCTCTGCCTACCTTTCCCAGAATTCTCCTTGTCTCCTAGACCCACCTATCTTTCTGCCTCTATTGGCCAAACAGTGTTTTATTCATGAACCAATAAGAGAAACATTTATACAGAAGCACATCCCCCATCACCTGACCGTATGGCTCAGGCCCCATGCACTGTGTGTCCCACAGAGTATGTATACCATGTCTTTACTTGCATGAGATAACCCAGGTCAATGGAACAACAGCTCTAGATTAGAGGCCTAGATTGCATCATGGTATGTGGGCATGTGCCTGTGCCTGTGTGTAGGCCAAAAGACAATCTAGGGTATCATTTTTCAGGTACCTACCTCCTGGAGACAGGGTCTATCATTGACTCAAAGCTCAGCAACTAGACTAGACTGGCCAGCCAGTAAGCCTCAGGGATGTTCCTGTCTCCACACCCTAGAACTGGGATTATAGCATACACCACCACACCCAAATTTTTATGTAGGTTCTGGGAATTGAATTCAGATCCTTAGAGGAACCATCCCCCCAGCCCTAGATCTCATCCTTTGTCCTTTCCATGGACAGCAACACATTCACACATTAGGATTCTGCACTTAAGGTCATGCTATACGATGACCACTTAGCTCCGTGTTCTTAAAGAAATGTGGGAAGGCTCAGCCACTGCCAGCAGCTTCATCTGAGGACTTAACAGAAAGTCAAATCATCAGGGATACTGAATTAGAAACTGGGTAGGGCCAATACTTCAAGTCTTAGGCTTCCTGGGTGATTCTGATGGTCACTAGAATGTGAGATCCTTGGGCTTAGCTTATGTAAAGGGAAGCGACAGGTACACAGTGACCTTAAAGCATACACACAAAGTGTGCTGGGTAACCATAGCAACACCCTCATTATTACAGTAAAATAGGAAACAGCCATGCATGCAGAAGGCCCCCAAGAGAATCAAAGGAAATGTATTGTTGTCACTGATGTGAGACAATGACTTACAGTGGAACAACAGCCAAGTTTAAAGGAAGCTCCTGAAAGCTTTGGAGAAACACACGCAACATCCTGCCATGATCCCTATTTGGTGGTTTGGATATTTATTTTCTTTGTTTCTAAGGGGAAGGAAGGGCTGGAAAATTAAGTATTAAATCATTCAAAGGATATAATACTCTGGAAAGGAAATATTAAAACTTGTAATAATAAATTGTGGAGGCTCAGAGGAACATAAGATGGCAAATATCATTGTGACCAGAAAGAGGCAGAGCCCAGCAACTTAGCCCATTCCAAGAAGATGAACCTTATAGAAAATGATTCCATGGAAAGTGGTACCTTAACAGGAAACTCATAGAAGGTGGAGATCAGAGGTCAGAGTTTTAAGTGAACATGTATGTCTTTATGGGTCACGGGGTCTCTGTTACAGATACAGTGGAACCAGCCATAGACAACAGTATGAATGCATGTACGGGACTGTGTTGTGAAATCACAGCTTGCTAAGGGACATTGAAACCTGAAGTCCTATCATCTCAATGTATCATGACGCATGCCCCTTTTGATTTCTTTTCTCCCTTTGGCCCTTTGAAAACAGAAAACCATTCCCATCTCAGAGGCGATACCAAAGCCACATGGTCATCCACAGTCCTCAGGCTTGGATGCCAAGAGAAGCCACAGTCCCCCAAACCTACTATCAGGGCTATTTTTAAGATGTAATGTTGAATGAGAAGATGAGAAATGTGGGCAATATTAAAATGTGCTAAGAAAAGGAGAAGAAAAAGTATGGACACATTAATTAGAACTGCAGCCATGTGAAATGAGTATAAGTGGCACTGACAGAAAATGTCAATAGACCAGTGCAGCCTGGGCAGTCAGAGGGTACTAATGGCATTCTTTCACTTCTTTTATAGACAGGGTCTATAGACAGGTCCTATAGTTGAGGCTGGCCTCAAAATTACTATGTAGCTGGTACTAGCCTTGAACATCTAGTTTTTCTGCCTCTACCTTCCAAGTGCTGGGATTATATGCATGTGCCACCATGCCTGGTGAGTATAGAGACTTTACTTTAACACCATCATTGTACTGTTTTTTTCAAGGAACAATGTACACTTTTGGTAAGGTTATAAAGAAAGACAATTTCTCTTTGTTTCTCCTCTACCCTTATGAGCACCTGCTGTTCATTCACTGGCTATCTGGCCACATAGAATATAAGCCTCGGTTTGCTGATCTGCCTCAGGCTGTACACCCAGTATTTGAGATGCAACATATATTCAAAAGATTATCTGTTAAGCTGTTGAATCAATATCTCCTGTCCTCTAGGTCCATGGTTAGGTGACAATTGCTGCCAGAGCATGGCAGGGGTGGGGGTGAGGTGTGTGTGGGTCCTTGTCCTGTCTCATAGGGAGATGCCCCTAATGTGCTGCACAAAGCACCTGGGTGTCTTTAGGTTTTCCCCTCAGATTATAGGCTCCCTCCTCAGAATGTCCCCAGAATCTCATGGGCTCCCTCCTCAGAATGTCCCCAGAATCTCATGGGCTCCCTCCTCAGAATGTCCCCAGAATCTCATGGGCTCCCTCCTCAGAATGTCCCCAGAATCTCATGGGCTCCCTCCTCAGAATGTCCCCAGCATGGCATGCATGCTGACCTTAGGCACAGGCTTCCCGACTACCCAGTATCACAGTGCTTTATGTGGATACCATCTTTGGATAGAGAGAAACTTCAGGAGGGATGGGGCTAACATTGACTTTTTACTCCACAATGTTGAGCACCAGTACACAATAGACACTCAGTAAATGCCCACTAACCATCAGCAAAGTGGATCATCTATTTCCAAACACAACATCCAGAATATTCGCTCAAGATTCCCTCTTGTCCTTGAAGGATCTCTGGACATTTACTGTACTGAGAGAAAGCTTTGCTCCCAGACTCCAGTCCCAGCAACCACTAGTAGCCAGAGGGCCCTGTGAACAGTTTGAAAATCTTGGAAAGGGACAAATGGCTTAGTCAGAAAAACGTATTCTGGGCAAATACTGAAGAATGAAATTTGCTTCCCAGGATCCATGAGTTGGGGAAGGCCGGCATGGTATTATAACCCCAGTCCTGTGCAGAAACAGATTTCTGGGCTCACTGGCAATTCAACCTAGATTACTTGTCAAATATTAGGCCAGTGAGGCCTTTTCTCAAAAAAACCAAAACAAACAAACAAACAAACAAACAAACCAGAAAAATGGACAGCATCTGAAGAATGAGGCTAGAGGTTGTCATATGACTACCACATACATATGCATGAGCATATACACAAGGCTCTCTCTCTCTCTCTCTCTCTCTCTCTCTCTCTCTCTCTCTCACACACACACACACACACACACACACACACACAAACTGTGAATAGGGTCTGATTGAGAGAGGTGAGGTCTCACCTGTTTCTTCCTTAAGGTCCTGAAAGAACTTCTGGTTGAAGATGAAAGCCACACCACTGATCTCCTCTACTTTGGCCTCAGCCGTGCTATTCCTATTTATGAAGTTGGCAGTGATGGCGATGGCCAGCTTTCCTCGGAACTCCTTCCTCCTGAACCCTGCAAAAGGGAAAGGATAGATAGGTCAGTCCTCTAGATCGGGTGGGAACTCAAACAATATTGCTAAGAACTCTCTTCTTGGTGCCACACAGATGGGGTCAGGGGCTCTGGAGCAGGCAGAGGCACCAGGCTTGTTCCCACAAGAGGCATTTTGAAATCAGTAGGACTCTGGTCTCTATACCATTGAACCATATGTGCCACTTACATATCCACAGACCAATGGCCAAAATGATCTGTGCAGCAGGCTACAACAGAGCTCAGCCCTCTGTAGATGTTTTGAATATGACGCTGAACAGTCTTAAGGTGCTTTGGCAATGAGGCCTTACATGATTAGCTGAGTCAAATGATTTTGCTAGTATTTTAAATGGAAAAGAAAACCTTATGAACAAATAAGATGAGACTAAACTTACATAGGACAGGGATGGTAAAACATTTTCTTTATATCTTCATTGTAATGGGTCTTTATTGCATTGCTATCTCCCTGCCACATACGCATTGTGAAGTCCTAATCCTGGGTGTCTCTGTATGTGACCTTTTTTGAGATGGGGTCATTATGGATGTGCTTAGTTAAGATGAGCTTTACTGGAGTCGAATGGGTCCTGTGCTATAACACGCCTGATGTCTTTATCTACAAGGAAAGTTGGACACATATACACACTGAGGGAGAAGCTCGGTAAGATGAAGGCAGAGGGATGGTGCTTCTGAAAGCAACACCAAGGCCTAGCAAAGGAAACCAGTACACTGGTTCCCATTGTCTGGTGCCTAGGATGTGCGCTGGCTGGTTTATGTCTTGACATAAACCTAGACATTCTTGGGAAGAGGGACTCTCAAGTGATGAATAGCCTGAGGGTACATCTGTGGTGGCATTTTCTTAATTAGTGATTGATGTGGGAGGGTTCAACCTATAGCAGGCTGAGCATAGTTCCTAGGCTCTCAAGTATTCTGACCCATATTTTTCCCAAACCACCAGAACAATCCCACAATCATACATGTATTCACACTGGCAGCCTTGTCAGGTGTTGCTGTGAGAAGATGGGTATAGGAGTGAAGGCAGGGTACGTACAGGCATGGTAGAGTGTGGGGTGTGTAGCAGTCAGGCGAGGACTGAGCTGGAGGACCACACATTCACAATTTTCTGAGATCAGACTTATTTCAGTATGTGCATCCTATCTTCAGAGAATGAGTTTTCCCAGCCATGCATCTCCAGCTTGTGACCCTTGACAGGGGGCAAACTCAGAAATCACACTTTCCCTACTTCAAGAGATGCTACTGACACCATGATGCTTTTGAGCTGTGTGCTCCGAAAACCCTTTCAGTATTAATGTGTACATGAAGCCTGCCTGCTGAAATGAGAGAAACACTGAATCCTGGCAGTTTGCCTAGCTGCCCGGCAGTGAGTGTGCTTAAGAGTTATGAAGAAAGAGGGCCTCTCTATTGATTGGTAAAGTGCTTAAACATGAATGGATGCCTTTAAAATCTTGAGATGTTTGCCTTAGATGGAGTGAGAGGAGAGTGCACCTTGGCTAACACAGCAACAGGTGCTCAGTGAGTCTGTGTTGACTTTTCCCACAGTACCCCCATTTCAGAAACATTTTCATAGATAAGCCCTCCCCCAGCTCTTGCCCCCATGCTCTGAGAGGGTTCTGCTATCCATATCTCTTTGAGGTCCAGCGAGAGGGAAAGTAGAATGGCCGTCCTCACACACTCAGCTTCAGGACGGACAGAACAACCTGCTCTCTACTCTTAGCCAAAGCATCTACCATCTTGACCAACTTTCTCCAGTTCTCCTCATTATCTCTCAGCTCTAGCCCCAAGAGTCCTCACCTTCCAGTGTGTTCCTATTGCCGTCAGCACCAATGATGACGTCAAACTCAAAGTCAGACAGGGCGTGGTCTGCAGGGAGGAATTCTGCCCGCCAGCCGACTTCTACCAGGGCAGAGAGACTGTTAGATGAGTGGACAGAGGTAGGCTGAGAAAGTGAGGCCACCCCTCCCTGTTGGTCATGAGAAATGGATAATGACTCTGTGGAGCCTCCCCAAGAAAGGCCCAGGCATCAGGTATATCCAATCTTTTGACACTGTGACACAATGCTATCGTCTACCAAGTTCATGGCTGAGAACTGTGTAACTGAGGCTTTTTTAATGGCAAAACCCCTCTCATAATATTTTAAAAAGTTTACTATTTCATATTTGGCCACATTCATAGCTATTTTGAGTAGTGTGTGGCTCCCATGCAGCAGGTTGTGCACACCTGGCAGTCTGTATTCAGGCTCTCTCTGATAACCTCAGATTTTGTGTCAGTGCAACCCAGAACAAAGCAAACAGGCACTGCCAAATCCACACCTGGTCTGACTGAACTTTGGTAACTGACGCTAACTTTCAGCAATCCCCAAACTGGTCTGCCCTGCCCCTGTCTATATCTCATCAGATTCACCCCTATTTGTCGCATATTCAATGGCTCCTTGTTGTCAAGCAGATCCCAGGGGATGTGGGAGATGTTAGGGAGCTACTTTGCATTTCTGCTTCTTGCTCCAATGGTTTGCTGCTTTAGAGTCACACTCTCAGGCGAAGCCTGGCTGGGTCCTTGGAATTAGGACCAACTACCGAGCAGAGATGTCCCAATAGGAGCACAGTCTCTGAATGTCCCAAATGATAGTGTCTTGTTCAAAAAGCAAGGAAATTCTCCCTGAGTTATCAAATACCCTGGACTGAGGCCAGGAAAAGTTGGGGGTGTACCCCCCATGGGAAACAGCAAAGTCTCTGATACATGCTGCTTCAAAAACTCAGCATTTCCAAGGCAGGAGGCAATTCTAACAGCAAGATATGAAACCTTGACATACAAACTCCATGACTATGGTTTGTGAAAAAGATCAGAATTTGATTTCCCTTTCTTCTAGTTTTTTTTTTTTTTCCATTTTAGGTTCTGAGTATGTAGCTCAGGCTGGCCTTAAACCCATAACCATCTTGCCTCAGTGCTGGGATTACAGGTAGATACCACCATGTTCAGCTAAGATATCAGAATTTAAATATTTATATTAAGAAAGAAGAATTCTATCAAGAACATGTATAGATGGAGGCATTTTATAAGTTAAAACTCAATAAAATTAAAAATACTGCTGGGCATGATGGCACACCTGTAATACCGGTAATCCCAGATTCAGAAAGAAGTTCAAGGGTCATCCTTGGCAACATAGCAAGTTTGAGGCCAGTTTGGGCTACATAAGACTATCTTGGAAATGATATATATGTTGTGATGGTTTGAATGAAAATGGACCCCATAGGCCTATAAGGAGTAGCACTTTTGGGAGGTGTGGCCTTGTTGGAGGAAGTGTGTCACTGCAGTTGGCTTTGAGGTTTCAGAAGCTCAAGCCAGGCCCAGTGACTCTCTCTTCTGGCTGTCTGCTGATCCAGGTTTAGCACTCTCAGCTACCTCTCCAGCACCATGTCTACCTGTATGTTGCCATGCTTCCCACCATGACAATAATAGACTAAACTTCTTAATGTAAGCCAGCCCCCAATGAAATGTTTTCCTTTCTAAGAGCTGCTCTGGACATGGTGTCTCCTCACCTCAACAAATCCCCAACTAAGACACATGTATTTCAAGAAATATCTAGAACCTTTGTTTTACAGCTGTTCTAGAAGTCTGTTTCTTTACTGTACTTTAAAATATTATGAGGGTACAGCAGGCACATCTACCTATCTCTGTGTGAACATGTCTTGAAGCTTGTGTGAACTTTATTAAGCTACCAGATCTGTCCTCTTCCTGCCACTGGCTGGATGTCATTTGTCAAAGTTGCATCTTCCTAGGGACTGAGTAACCAAATTATAGGCTTCATGGCATAATAGTAATTCCACCATCACCCCCGCCCTTGTTGGGAGCTGAAGAATAAGCCCAAAGCCACAGAAATGGTCAAAAAAGGTAAAGTATTTGTCAGTGGAAGTATGCCAAACAGCTCCCAGCAAAAATAACTTGCAGATAGCCTCTGAAAGCTACCAGCACAGCTTCCCACTTGGAATATCTGCCTTCAGGGCAGAGAGGGAGAATTATACTGTACTTTGATTTTCTTGGTCTTCAGGAGGCTCTAGAACCCTCACAAATTCCACATTGACATGGATTTCCACTCCCAGCATCAGGGCCACCTTGAACAGAATGAGCTGCAGTTGACGGATACCTATCAGGAAGGAAGGGAAAGGAGAAGAGATGGTCAGGAGCAATGCTTGGGCACCACCTGTATGTCAGTGCTATGCAGATGTGGCTCAGTGATCCCAGAGCACAGCACCACATCAGCTGAGTTTATACCAGGCACTCCAGGCCTTTTCATCCATCCCACACAGTGGCCTTTTGGGACCCTTCTTATTTTCATTTAATAGAGGAGATAGTAAGACTTAATAAAGCCAAGTGACTGCTCAGGGCCACACAGGAGCATAAAGCAGACTAGACCCAGCTCAGTCTGACCCAACAGCCCTGCTCTAGCTGTATTAGGCTTTTCTAACTAGAAAGATCTGTCTTTCCTACATTGTTGCCAAGCTGGGCTCTGGCTCTGATGAGATAAAGATAGAGAGATGAGGAGACAGTGAGAGTCAAGAGCCACAAAGAAAGTCAGAGATCAAATGTCTCATTGGATGAGGCCTATGCCTGAAGCTCCTCCCTCTCCAATGGTAAGGGGTAAGGTACATTAAGGAATTCTCCCTGCCACTGGGCTCGATGGTCTCCACTTTTTACCATTTCAAATGCAACCTTGTTGTTCTCCACTGCTCAGCACAAATGGGCATCCCTCCATCTATTTCTGCACAGTGAGAAGTTGCAAACTTGCTGCTGTGGGCGTCTCTGTATTGAGTGGGCATAGGTCATTTAATATTCAGTGAGCACCTGCAATGTGCCAGGTGCCATCTTAAGTCACAGGAAGATGGGTGCATGCTCTCTACTGGGGAAAGCAGATGAACAGAACAATGGGGTTTGGGTTAGGGCTACAAGAGAGGGGCAATTGGGAGCATCACATTCCCTGGACAGACTGAGGACAATGAGGGCCACATGTGACCAGGGCACCCGGGAGCCAGGAAGCTGCTGGGTAAAAATCTCTTTAGTATGGTGACTGACAAGAGGAAGTAGACAACCATGGGGGGCGGAGTATGAGTGGATAGACAGTCCTCATTTCCTCTTCTAGAACAAATCCTTTTCATTCAAACAATAATGGGGTCCCCATAGAAGGCAGGGTCCAGGGTGAGGAGCAGGAAGACTGGTGATGAGGGGAGGGAGGAGGAAGAGAGATATCCAAGAGGGACCAGAGTTGGAAGGTGGGCTAGCTCTGCCTCTGTCCTGGGGGTGCTAAGAAGGGAAGATGAGTATGTGAAGGGCTGGTCAGTCGCCTCTCTCTGTCAGGCATAGTACACAGATCACTGCTAAGAAGCTAGGGTTGGAAGAACAGTGCTGGGGAATGGAGAGTTCTATCTAACACAGTACATAAAGAGAAGTGCTGAGCAATGGTGAACCTGAGGGTGCAGCTGCAGCTGGAGACTACCCATGTTCTGAACAGAAGCCAGACAGCCTCCAGGGCTCAGGCCACAACCTGCTAAACAGATAGTCCTTCCAGGGGAAGCTTGGCCACACCTCACGGTGTCAAGGTTCCTGGCTTACAGTACACAGTAGGTGCTCTGTAAGTCCCCCAGCTCCATTCTCACAGGACTGCCTTGGTGATGCCATATCCTCCCAGCGCTGTGCTCAAAGCTTTCACTCCACATTCTAACTAACAGGCTTTCTTCTCTGGGTGGGTCAGAGCATCCCGCCAGCTCATGCTGTGGCTTTCTGGGCAAATACCAATTTCTTTCCATTGGGCTCTTGGAATTTTCTCATCCCAAAGTGGGAATAAACTCTGGGACTTCTGCTGGTAAATTTTTCTGTGTCTGAATAAATTACACCCTTAGCAGCTGATAATTCTCTCCAGCCCTACCCACACACCACTCACTTTCCCCATCAACTCTGGTCTCATATGGACAAGGCTCTTTGGGCTCCCCTTTCACCCATTCCCATGGAAAAGTATAAGGTTGTTAGGTTTGAGGACCACACATGGCACTCTGCTTACTCTATGCCACCAGACACAAAACACTTCAGTATTCACTACACAGCAGATGTGTTAGCATGTTACAAACTTGACCCCAAGTGACCTTAGCAATTCACAGAGACAACATTAATCCTGTTTTATAGGAGATAGAACTGAGGAAGGTAAGGCATTTTACCTAAGTAAGGAAGAAATAAAAGAGACAAGCTTGGTATTTAATTCACCTGACACCATGTGACCTGCCTGACTTCCATTGTTCCACTGTCACATAGATGATGGCTAGAGACCTCTTCCTTGCAAAGCTCAGAAGAGGAGGGGTGCTGTCTTTCCAAAGCTGCTATGCACAGGTCTTGCCTCAAGATTCCACAAGTGACCAATGGCAGAGCAAGAGCCATGCTCTGCACAGGCACTCAGAGATTGCCCAGCATCTGGTCTATATCCTCAACTTCCCTTCCCAGCCTCCACAGAAGTCTTACCATGCTGCTTCTCTCCTGTCAAAGTTCTAAGGAGCACTGGTAAGCAATCTGTCAGAGATTACACATCCAGTTACATCATTCCTATGATCTGCCATCTGCTGGTTCTCCAGGACTAGCAGCATAATGCCCAAAGGCCTCTGCACAGGAGGTCCTGACCATCTGGCCCTGTTAGGGTTTTGTGAGCTCCTGGGGATGTGACTCACTCTATTAGAGCACATTTTATTACTGAAAGGCTCTTAGTGCGCTCACGGAGCATGTAGACTTTGCTGCTTACCTCTGGGCTTTGTATTTCATCCATACACTCAACAGATGTTTATTGCTCATCTATTATGTGTCAAGCACTTAGGCCCCGGTGACAGGTATTTTGGCAAGCAGTGTGTGCCAGAATCTGTGATCAATGGGACATAGCACAGAGCCCAGGAGAAGCCACAAGGCAGATTGCCATGGTCAGAATGTGAAGTGTCCTCACCGGTGCATGTGTTTTCACATTTGAGCCCCATCCAGTGCTACTGTGTTAGGAGACTGTAGGAACTTTAGAAGATGTGGCCTAGCTGGAAGAAGTGGGGCACTGGGTGGAAGGGGAGCTTGAAGTTTATAGCCCAGACATTCTTCTGGGCCTCTCTTCATATCTGGATGGGCCCAGATATGAGCTTGCAGCCATGAGGCTGCTTGCCTTTGTGACTTCCTTGCCACAATAGGCTGTGTCCCTTCACACCATGAGCCCAAAGAAACCTCTCCTGAAGTTGACTCCTAGGAAGCATTTGATCACAGGCAAAGCAAAGTAACTAAAGCACAGTCCTTCAGGTAACATCTGTTAGTTGGGTGACTGGGTCCTCAAAGGAACTCCTAGATGTGGCAAGATGGACCCCTTCTACAGTGAGACCCGGACCTTCATGAAGTACCCCACCCGAGCCCCACTCACTGATGTGGTCGATGGAGCCAGCACAGAATTTCCCATAGAACTTCTTGGCTCCTAGGCCCCTCAGGTCGTGGATGGTAAAGGGCCAGAGGTGCAGCACATTGTTCCGGGAGAAGGTGTCCCTCTTCTCCACGACAACCACTTTGGCTCCCAGGTAGGCAAGTTCAATGGCAGTCCGCAAGCCACATGGTCCTCCTCCTACGATGAGACACTGTGGAGAGAAAGGAGATACTTAGCAACCTTGAGTGTACAGGGAGTGCTGTCGGTGTGGTACTACCTCACCAGCCACAGCATACTGGGCATCTGCTAGGGAGGGCCTGTCATTCATCCACCCAGTTTTCATTCCCTGACCAAGCCCTGGGAGTACACACACAAAGGGATTTTTGGAGAAGGCACTGTAAGATACGTAGGAGGTTCTAAGTGAGGCTGGACCGGATATGATCCCAGCCCTGCTACACCACCTCTTAGTTTTCTTTCCTGTGAACTGGGTCTGTGAAGTGCTGCTTTTCTTCAGAGGGCTGTTGTCAATAGGATCACCTTTGGGAAGTATACAGGGCTGAGGGTGCTGTGGTTCAGCTGTTGGGTGCTAGCCTAGTATGTGCAAGACCCTGGGCTACGTATCCCAGCACCACTAAATAAGTACACAGTAAAAGAAGAGAGCGCTTCTGAGTTGTGAAAGCATGTGGAACATCATTATTGTGACCGAAAGCTAGTCAATAGTTCCTTAGGACCAAGAGCCAAACAACAAGAGAAAATATTGACAAACTGGACCTCATAAGATTAAAAACCTCAGTGCTGAGGCTGGAGAGATGGATCAGTGACTAAGAGCATTCTCTGTTCTTCTAGAAGCCCTGCGTTCCATTTTCAGCACCCGTGTTGTGTGGCTCACAACCACCTGCAATTCCAACTCAGAGGATGGAATTACAACACTCTCTTCTGGACCATCATGCTCCTGCACACAGATGTACCCCACACTCAAATAAAAGTAAATCTTAAAATTGATGTTTCAAAAGATATTATTGCCAAAGAAGTGAAAAGAAGATGGTCATGGTGACATGCGCCTGTGAGCCCAGGCCGGCTTGTCCCACCCCGCCCCCTTCCCCAACCTGGCAAAGGAAAGGAAAAAAGGGAAAAGACAGCTCCACCGATGGAAGAAAATATTTGCAAACCACATAATTGGTAAGTTCTGATATCGTACTTGTATCTTAACATGCATACAAATAATATGCATGCTTAAAATGAAAATAAATTAAAATACCCAAGTAAACCCCAGAGAAAGAATTTAGACAGCATTTCCCCCGTAAATATATACAAAGAGTCAGAAAGTAGATAAAATATCCCAAAATTATCAGCTATTCGAGAAATTCGAAAAACAAGCCAGTTGAATGGTCACTCCCTTATTACTGGTAAAGGCTCTAATTTTATAGGGCGCACATAAATCAAGAGCTGGAAATATTCAATTTGCATATCTTGCTGGTGAAAATGATTCCAACAGTCTGGTATAGCAATTCCTTTATCAGTTAAACACAGGAGTACTGGATTAGCCAGCCATTCCACTCCTAGGTGCACACACACTCAAGAGAATACAAAGCATCTCCATGCCATACATGTTTTGTATTATCTACAGTGGTTGCCCATTAAGCAACAGCTTCGGCCGCAAGGGCCGCAGCCTGGGGGGATTCTGTCCTCCCAGGACCCAATCTTTCAAAGCTACTGAGGGAAGTCTAAATCTAAAGAACTCACAATTCAAGGTTTGTGAGGTGAATTCTGCTTGCTCAGAGAGGCTGAATAGCAAACAGCTAACCTTCTCCCTTTGCTGGCATCTTCCAAAAAAAAAAAAGAAAAAAGAAAAAGAAAAAAACCCAAACAAACAAAAAACAAAAACAAACAAAAAAACACCCCAGCATCCTTCTCTCCGCCCCCACTTAAAAAGCCTTGCTACATATGGTTCCTCCTTACCACTTCCTGCCAGCTACTTGCTGACTCAGCCTCTTGCTCACAGGTTAATTTTATTTAATCAAACACATCTTTGAATTATTAACAAAAGCAGTAGGAAAAATGCAACACACTTTAAAATAATACTCTCCCCAACATCCATGAACATTAAGGGAAGGATTATTCACATCAGCCCCAAACTGTAACAAATTGTGGGCCCATGAATTGATGGATAAGCAAGATAGGATATATGTGTAATAACACGGGTGCATATATGTGCTTCCATGTAGGGGTGCAGGTACACATGTGTGGAGGCCCAAGGTCTTCCTCAATTGCTCCCAACCTATTCAAGTGACCCTAGGGCTTGCCGATTCAGGATAGTCTAGTTAGCCATCTTGCTTTTGCTCTGGGGATCCCTGAATCTGCCTTCTAAATACTGGAATTGCAGATAGGCCGCGTTGATTTGGGTTTGGGGATGTGAACTCCAGAACAGGCAATCTGTATAGACAGAAAGATTGGTGTGATGAGGTTAAAGGGAAGGGAGGGTTAGGGTTGCTACTGGATATATGGTTTCCTTTTGGAGTGCTCTGGAATTAGGCAGTGATGATAGTTACATCATTTAGTAGGATGAGTCTTATAGTATGTTGATTATATTACATACAATAAAATAGTGAGACCCTATTTAAAAGAAAAATGGACTGATGATGACTCAGCAGTTGGCTGCTCTTCCAGAGGACCCAAGTTCAATTTCTAGCACCTACGAGGTGGCTCCCAACCACTTATCACCCTAGTTCCAGGGGATCCGATACTCTCTTACAGTCCCTATGGGCACTGTACACATGTGATACACATACATACACACAGATACCCAAACATACGTGTAAAATAAGTATTGAAAAATAAAAACTTCAGGCCCAGTGGTACATGTTTATAATCTCAGGACCCAGATAGAAAAATTGCAAATTCTAGGTAACATTCAACAAACAAGACTTGCATGAGAAGAAGAAGGTAATTAGAAAAAAAGGGTGACCCATGCTGGTATGAATGTTGAATATTTTTTCTTTTCTACAAATTTTTAAAATTTTATTACACATATGGGTGTTTTGCCTACAGATATGTCTGTGTCTCAGGTACATCCCTAGTGACAGGAGAGGGCACTGGAGCCCCTGAAACTGGAGTTATAAGTGGCTGCAAAGCACCACATGGATGCTGGGAATTAAACCTGGATCCTCCAAAAGAGCAGCCAGTGTTCCTAACCACTGAGCCATCTCCCCAGTCCTGAATGTTGGAGTCTTATTATTGAAAACTAGTGCCTATATCTAGAGACTCTCAGGCCAATAGTGTAAATTTGTACTTTGAAATAAAGAACCAGAATATTGTGTGGTTCATCCTATTTCATGCTCAGAAAGGGAAAAGCTAATTCAGCCTGGTAGAATGCAAGGGACTTCAGAGGAGGGGCTCCCAGTGTTATCTCACCACTGTAGCCCATGTCTGTGAAGCACTCACTCACATTCATGTGTTGGACTTCTCAAACTCTAGAAAAGAACTTTCATTCTGACTGTCTCCCAAATGGGGATAGAAGGGGGCAAAGCCACAAAGGTAAATAACTGGTCCATGGTATCAGATTGAAAGAGGCAGAGCCAGAATCTAAACCCAGATGGTCTTGCTCCCAAGCCTCCCACACAGTCCTGTTTCTGGTTTGACGGAAATTAAAAAAAAAAAAAATCCAAACATCTCAGCTAAGGGAAACTAATCAGAGAGAAAAATGGGTGGAAGGGGAGATAGAAGAGAGTAGTCTGCACCTAGATGCTGAAGGTCTTAAATGTATTGATCTTGTTGACACTGGAGCCTTGGGTGAAGAAGACACAGACAGGACTTTGTATAAGGCCCATGTAACAAGTCACTGAATGTGGAAGAAGACCTTGTCCTTCTCCAGAGAGGACACAGTCTGTTAGGACAGAAGAGGGGGACACATGATGATATGTAGTCACATGACATCTAATTTTCTGCAATGCTGCATAAGACCTGAGAGCATGGCAGTAGCCCAGCAGTGGCAGCAGAGGCAGGTAAGAGTGTGTGCGGGGTGGGTCGGGCAGAGTATGGGGGTGTGGGGTGTATGTGAATAGCTGAAGCTGTTCAGCAAGTCATCAGAGGGACCCTCACCCACTTCTCACTCACGGATGGATGTTTCAGAGACATCTGGAAATTTCCCTCTACTTGGAATTAAATGTTATCTTAAAAACACATCCCTCTTCCTGAGCAAATGCTCCATTCTCTGGCTGTCACTCCCCTAGGCCGCCAGGGTCCCGGAGGGAAAGTGTGATCAAGCGTATCAGAGGCTCCCACACTACAATCAGTGTAGTTTACTAGCTGGAACCTTCCAGAGAGTTTGTAGACACCCAATTAGAGGAAATGAAGTCACTGCTGAGATTTGACTCACCCCCAGAGACTGTGGGGAGTGCGTGGGGGTGGGGCCCTGACTTCCTCTCTGGACAGAGGTGCTTGGAGAAAACCAGCTTCCTCAGCCCAGAACTGCACTTATCTCACTCTCCATGCAGCTTCTTGTTCCACATAGCCAGACAATGACGGTCATTGCAGAACCTGCTCCAAACCCCAGGCTTGGGAGGTTTGCTTTGGGCAAAGTCTGAACCCATTACATGTCTTCAGAGTTACTGCATTTTTCCTGTTGGTGAGCTCTGTGACTACACGGCCAGCACTGGGCCAGTTGGAGGATATAGGGTGAAGAAGGGCAGGAGGAAGAGAAAGGGCTTCTGCAGTTTTCATTCACCATGCCTAGCCCATCTCTACTACCTAGACAAGGCAGGAAACATCTTCTCCAGGCAGGGACTGTTGTACCTAGAGTGTGCAAACATTAGCCAGGACTCTTGTCCAGTCTTCTTGGCAGCACCTGGATTCCTGCCAGCGAATGCTTGCCTTTTCTATCATCCTAGGCCCTGTTACATAATTTGGGCATGGAATCTCAGAGATGCCAATCATACCAAACATTTAATCAAAGCAAATGCCAATGGGCTTAGTTATATCAAGTGAGAAAATCTCAGCTGGGACAAGGGCCTGTTGGCTGGGGTGGTGGAGGCAGGACAGTTAGAATGTGTTAGTTATGATCAGAATGGGGACTTGGTATCCTGACAAGGGGCCAAACACTATGTAGCCATGTGTCTGGGTAGAGGAATGGCATGGACTTCCTGGGATACCCATGGTCAGTGGACGCTCTGGATATCAGGTGTGGCCCAACAGACTGAACGCAAAAGCAAAGGACCCTTCTCTTTCCACAGACCCAGACAGCAATCGCCACTTAGAGCTGACTTTCAATAAATAGAACTTTTGGTTAAAACTAACCCACAGTCAGTGATTGCTGTACAAGCATGAGAACCT